TAAAAAAATATTGGGATTCATAGTATCTTCATAAGTTTCTAAATCTTTCCTATGTCTGTGATTCCCCCATCTTGCTTCTAATGTTTATTTGTGATTTGTAAGATTGTTTTATTCTTATTTCTTAGAGATTTCATTTTTTAAAGAAACAACTTTTGGTTTTAGTAATTATATTTCCTATTTTGTTGTTTCTTATGAAATTTATTCTGCTATTATCCTTGCTATTTAGCTTCTTTTTCATGTAAAATTATTTGAGAATTGATTTTGAAGTTTTTCTAAAAATTTTAACTTTATTCTTTTTATATTATTTTATATGTGCACTTAAAGTGATAAAATGTTATTTCAGAATCATTTTGTTGCCTTATCAGTGTTGAAAAATTACGCTTTTAAAAGTTATTTCTTACTCTAACATTTGGATTATAATTTCCTTTTCAATACAAACATTGAAAATGATGTTTTAAATTTTCAATGGCTAGGGACTTTTTTAAACTAACTTTTTCTTGTTAATTTGTGATTTTATTAATATAAAATCACAAATTATCACAGTTATATTGCCTACCTTTTTAGTAATTTGTTGAGATTCTATGGTCCAATATATGGCTGAAGTTCCTTTTAAGGTAGTATTTTTAATATAAAATTTTACATAAATTCATTAGATAAATTTTATCAATTGTTCTTCAAGTCTTCTACCTCATTATTTTTTGTTTATCTGAGATACAAATATCTATGGTAAGGGATTCCACTATAGTTGTGGAATTGCTGGTTTAGTTATGTATATAATCAGTTATTTATTTACATACCTATACTATGTTTTTAGTACATAAATGTTCATAACAATGATGTTAAATTCATACCTGGATGATTCGTAATCTAATCAATATGAAATATATATCTTCCTTAATGTTTTTATTCTTGAATTTCATTTTTACTAGATATTAATACTGCCATACCACCTTTCTGTTTGTTGCTGATTTTCTGATATTTTTTTTCTTATTTTCATCATTTATCTATACTTTATTTTTCCCTTTAGATGTGTCTCATGTAAGCAGCTTAGAGTTGGTTTTGTTTTGTTTTTAACCCAATGGGAAAGGCTCTTTTTTTTAATTTGGGAAGTTTAGTTTATTTATATTTGTTGTGATCATGGTTACATTTGTATTTGTTCTTTTTATATAACTTTTTAAATTTACTTGTTTTCTTTTATTGCTTTATTTCTTCTTCCTGGTTAGATTTACCTTGTGCATTTTCTTTTAACCTTTACTAGTTTGGGGAATGTACATTCTACTTTTTCTTATTATTTTCCTTAATTTTAACAGTCACACTTAAGCTTAAGATTTTTGTCAAATTCAAGAGTTAATGATTGTCTATATCTTCCTTATTTAGAATATAATAAGCTTAGATCCTCCTTTATCACTTCACCCATCCATATTTATATATTCTGTATTTTTGTACCATTCTTGTCTTGTATTCATACTAGTTTTACTATATTCTGTACACACATAATTATTCCAGAAGTGGTATGTTGCTACTAAAATTTCTAAGTTTTTGCATGTTCTTGGCTGTGATGAACTTGTCCTTGTTTTGGTCTTCTATTAAATAATTGTTTAAATAGATACAAAATTCTTTCAAAGTTTTTTCTTTCAGAAATTGGAAGACTTTGATGTTGCTTTTTAATATCCACTTTTCAGAGTAAGTGTAATATCAATCTGTTTCTAATTCATTTCTTTGTAGGTTATTTCATTTTCTCTAGAATCTTTTAGGATTTTTATCATTCTTCTTGGTGTTCTGAAATATCACCACTATACAACTCAATAAAGATCTTCTATTGTTTACCTTGTTCTGTACTCTAAAACAATTATTTGGAAATATCATTTTGATCTAGTAATTAACTTTCTTTGGCTTTGGGAAATTTTATTCCATTATATTAGTAATATTATTTATTTCTGCATATCTCAGGCATTTTTCATGGCAAGTGATAGAAAAACACAAGTAAAACGACTTAACAAAAAGAGAAATTAATTGATCCCAGTACTAAAATAACCTATGGTGGTACTAATTTAAGACAAAACTTTATCCAGGGACTCATTCTCATTAAAGCTGTTTTTCTCTTTCTCTTAATGTCTTTTTTTATAGGAAGAAATTTTACTACTTCTTCAAAAGCTCACCTCTATAGCTATCACAGCCTCAGGCTGAAATCTTCCAAGTTTCTGTCCAGTGATATGATCACTGAATTTACTACCAGCTCTATAAAATTTCTATGGTGTATGACTGGCTCTAATTGGGTTATGAATTCAATTTCTTAGCCAGTCACCATAGCCAGAAAAACAATAATCTGATTATTCAGACCTGAGATTCATGCCCTCTGTTCAAGCCAGGCATGGACCCAGCTTTACCCAAATTGGATTTGAGTAAACTGAAAATGGGTTGAAAATGGGAGAAGAATAGTTTGCATTGCCCTGATGGAAACTGAAGTACGCTATTGGCCAAAAAGAAAAAAAAAAAAAAAAAAAGAATTGATGTTGAATGTCTATTTCTAGCTAAATATATAGATGCTTCTATACTTTCCATTTTTTCTGTTTGATTTTTCTGAATGCATATTAAAATTTCTTAACCCATGTCCTTGTATCTTAAGCTGAGCATTAACATTTTTTTCTTCTTTGTCCCTTTACATTGTGTTATGGGACTATTCTTTGATCTTATAGCTCACTGTTTTGTTTTTCAGTTATATGGCTCTATCAAATATATATATTTTTAAATTAATGAAGTAATTTTTATTTCAAAGTCGCCAATTGAGTCTCGTCGATGTAACATATTCTCACATTTTTAATCTTATTTTATTCTAAAGTCCTGCTTTGCTTGTCCTATTAACCTTATTTTCTCATTATAATAGTGTTAGTTCCTTCTAATATTCAATAATCTCCATCTGGTCACTTTTGTGTTTTAGTATCTCTGCCCACTTGCCTCCTCTAGTCACCAAGGTGATGATGACCTCTGGTGACAGAGGCTGGCTGGCTGTGCTGCTAGGAGGGTGGCACTATGTGCCTCAGCTCCCATTCTGGGAACAGCAGCTCCTTGTCCTCCCTGGAGCATTGCTCTGCCTCAGGGCCCACTTGCCACACTCTCCCTTAGCCTATGGACAGACACTTGTGCTTCCTGTTGCTTAGTGCAGATCAGAGAGGGGAGTGGTGCTTGCCAGCCTAGCTCTCACCTTCATTCCTCAGTTAATAACTTTGCTGATGCCTGCTTGAAGCTGTCGATGTCTTTGTATCTTGTAGCAACTGACTTTGTGTTCGGGGCTCCTCCTTCAGTCTTCCCATCACAGCATTCTTTTACCTATGTTTAGTTCATGCTTTGCTTCATTTTAATAACTTTGTATATTCAATCCTATCCACTGTCCATCTTTCCAGAATCCTTTAACATTTCTAGTCTTTTGGTGGCATTCTTTTTTTCTTTCCACCCTATTTTGGATTCACTTTTCATTCGAATTTTACAGGATTTCAGATGGGAACGAAGGTAGATATGTGTGTTTAGACAACAATCTCAATCCAGTTGCTTTCTCCTAGTTTCTTTGTAATTAAAAACTTCTACTCTGTGTCTTCCAAATCATATGAAAAGAAGAGAAGAACTTTGTAGCCTGTCTTGAAATATTTGAATGACATTAGAAAAGTATTGGGTCAGGGAGGAAGGAAGGAACTAATGTTCATTGAGTCTACTACTCATCCAGCCATGTCTTTAGTTTGGTGACAACTGAATTCCAGATGGAAAATCTTGTTTAATATGGGTAAGTAGTAAGATAAATTACACACCCACACCCACACACTACTTTGACATCTGTGAAATGCTCCTTTTTACTGGGAATCAGAGAAACCTAAACATATCTTGCTCTTTCTACTTCCTGGAAGACAAACTGATGTACACAGGTTACTCAAAGCAGCATCATTCCCCGGACTCTTGGCAACCATGGTCTAGAGTGATTGTTGAAGCAGTTAATGAAAAGCCAAATCTGATAAGATTATTTAAAATGTGAGATATAAAAAAAAGCTAATTAAGTTGCCCTCCAGACAAGGGATATCTTGCTAAGATTCATTTGTGTTAGGGCAAATAGTATTTCAAGTTTTAGAATAAAGTGAGATATATACATGTATCTTATTTGTATTAAATTCTTGTGTGGACATATTTTGTTACTTAATCAGATGGTGAAATTAATCTTTCTGTTGTGAGTTTTTAATTCTAACTATTTAACTTGAACCAGTGGCCAAAAATTTAAAATATATTTTTGTGATATCTGCCAGTGAATGAGAGAGATGATAGATTTCTCCAAGTACAAATAATACTTTGTAGGATTTGGAAGTAAAATTTAAGATACTTATTGATTATAAAAATCCTTTATGGTGTAACTTTCCTTGCTATGCACTTAATTTATACCCAGATCATTTCACAGTGGAACAATAAGACCAAAAAACAAAGCTCTTATCTCATAAAGAATCTTTGCAATTTTTAAAAATAATTTTGTTATATGTGGAACTTTTAGAATACCGAGCAACTTTATTATATAAAAATATTGTATTTATTTTAGGTAGCGAACACAATGTCATTAAAGTTTGTCTTCCATCTATAAAGACATTCTAGTTTGACTGTTTCAAAACTATATTAATTTATCCCAGTCTAAGGAAAACCCTTTTAAGATTCTAAGTCATAAGTTTCTCAATGAATTCTAGACAACCATAGCTCAAAAAATTCAAATAAAATTAGATGTATCAGAAAGTTTTTATTTCACGTAATTCATAGTGGTAACTATATCAGATTGAAACTAAATAACATTAAGTATAAAATGAGAACTTACTTTTTTTTTACAGTTGAAACCCAAACTAGCATTCAGAAGTATATGTTAATATAATAATTATACTTATTTTATATATCAGAAACCTGGACTCGTCCTGTGAAATACATGCACTATCCTTTAAAAATTGTAAAGTTACAAGATATTGAAGAAAAGGTATGTTTACCTTTCCTCATGGAAATTGGCATCTTGTTTCTGATGTTACACAGGCATAAATAATCAAGCGGAGAACGGTTTCTTTCCTCACACGGCCGATAGGTTTCACCCACTTTTATAGTCTCATATAATTATATAAGGGGTGGTTCATTCTGAGAGTCAATATTGTACCTTTTTATTAGACTACATAGTGAGTGATCACTATGTATTCATAATTTGAACTTTGAAATTTGATTGCTGTCTACTCAAAACCAGTTACCTAATTTAATTACTGCTTACAAGTTTGTCTCACCTACCATGGTTCCTTTGTAATGCAAAACCACAAACCAAAGTCCAGTAGATTACCCTTATTCATGAGAGATACTTTCCAAGACCTCCCAGTGGCTGCCTGAAACTGCAGATGGTACCAAACCCTATATATTCTATCTTTTTCTTGTACATATATATACACACACATATGATAACATTTAATTTATAAATTGGGCACACAAGAGATTAAGAACAAAATTAATTAAATGGAACAATTATCAACATATAGTATAAGAAAATTTACGTGAATGTGCTCTTTCTTAAAACATCTTATTCACTCTACTCACCTATGCTTGGGCTGCAGTTGACCACAGTAATTGAAACTGCAGAAAGTGAAATCTCAGAAAAAGGATGACTACTATACTTAACAGTAGTAGTCATAGGAGAATTACATAGCCTTTGTGGAAAACTAATAGCCATCCTACTACTGAATAAAAGACAGATTATCAAGAAGAGTAAATGAAGAATTGCAGCATTGTCATTTACTTCTTAAAATCTGTTATGCACCAGTAAATTGAGGACAAAACTGAACTATCCAAGAGAATGTATCAAAATAAAATACAGCAAATTCCCATACCACGAACATGTATCTGTATCCCCAGATACATGATTCAGGGAAACATAAACTCCTAAAGAAAGTAGTTAATGAATTATGTTGTGAAAACTGTAACATTTTACTAAATCAAGCTAACGTTAGACATCAACTATGACAACTTGATTGAAAATGCCTCATCTGATGCATTCTCTACTTGCTGTCCCTAAAGCATTTTTATTCACTCTCAATTATTAATTCAGAAACACTGATTGAGTAGTAACCATATACAACATGGTATATTAGGATCTCCTAAGAAACTCCCAGATTAATAAGGAAGGGAAGTAGCTATCCGCAGCAGAATGTGCAGAGTGTAATATGTACACTTACTGTGGCAATAAGGATTGGTATCTCAATTATGCAAAGTTCAAAACAGTACTCTTAATCAGCCAGAGACTTTTTCAAATGATGGTTCAGAGACCAAGCATTCTACCATAGAGTACCTCTTTCATCTTCAATTCATGGTTTTCTGTGTCATTATGTTCATTTGTATTGAACTATGGAAGGGAAAGAACATAGAACAGTTCTAGGGACATGTTTTTGGATCAGGTCGTGGCCGTGTAGCTACAATAACTGTGAGGGAGGTTGCAAAGCGTAGTTCCTAGGAGGAAAAGGGAGCACATTTGTCAACGGTTCTCTGCCAGGTGCTGTGGGACCACAGCTGTGGGTGAGAGTTGGTTAGGAAAGGCTCTCTGAAGAAAGGGATGTCCATGTTGTATTGGTTTTGGTGAGTGACAGCTAACGAGGAGAATATTGGAGTAGCAAAGAAAACCAATGCGAGCAAGATCATTGTAGACAGAAGGAAAAGCATGTGCAGATCACAGAACGGAAAGAGTATGATGAAGAAAATGCAACATAGGTTCTCATGAAGGAATGGAAAGAAAGGAGAGCATGAAGGACTATGGATGCTTTTGTAATGGAGTTGTCCACTTTGTAAGGTTTAAAACTCCGTTTGATTTTTTTTTTTTTTTTTTTTTTTTAGATCACCCGATTAGAATTGTAGGTGGTGAAGTAAACAGGCCAGGAGTAAGGTCAGTAAAATCAGTAAGGATGACATCGTAGTCATATACTCAGAAATGTTGAAGTCTTGAACTGTGGCAGTGGGAATTAAGGGGGGGAAGGATTGATTAGACCTCTAGGATATAGACACGACTGAACTTGGAGGACAATTCGAGGGTGGGGTGAGTGTAAGTAGGGTCTAAGGAAAGTGCAGAGGGAGAAAAAAGTAGGGTATGTACAGAGGTGGAGGAGAAAAAGACCGTCATCGAGCAAACCATGAGATGAGAGTTTTAAAATGGTAGAAAAATATAACTGCAAAAGTTGCAAAAAGGTGAAGAAAATGAAGACTAAAAGGTCTTTTTTCAATATGGAAACTAGAATCTCACTGATGACTTACTAAGTGCAACTTGAGAATTTAAAATTATTGATTAATAGTAAGCACTTCAACAACATTGGAAAAAATAAAGCATCACAATCATGCCAGAAATTTGTTAGCTTACCCTAGTGTTTAAGTGATTTAGTTCTAGAGACAAAAATGCTTTATTATTTATCACAGTGATATTGGGCAAAGTTTAAAATGAATATGGTTATGATTTCAACATACAGAAAAGATTTTTAGTACAAAACTATTGGAGTTCTAACTTTGATACTTATCCATGTGAAAGACTTTCATCTCTGTTTAAGTTTGTTGGGAATCTTGATGATGATAATGCATAAGGTTATTATTACTCAAATGTCATGCTGAATGTTGAAATTTACAATAAGATTTTTTAAATTTCAATATTAAAATGATAGAAAATCCCACTCTAAGCAAGAGTAGTGACTTATGGAATTTATGACAACAAAATTTCAAAGTATGTAGCATCAGTAAGGATATTTTGAAGCACAGTTCTGTGATAATAATATAATGGAGTTATTTATTAGTCAAAGCTAAACATTTTAATAGCAGACATTTCATATGCATTAAAAAAAACTCTGAATGATAAAGAACAGCTTGTAGACAATTAACAAAACTGGAATTAGTAGAATAGAAAATTGTGATTTTATTAAGAATATCTCAAAAATTAAAAGGCAATACTGAGTTGTCTGAAACAAATCTCAAAGAACTCAAAGTGATGCAAAAATAATGTGTTGTGTATTTACTTATAGAATCATTTATCCTATTAAAACCTAAAATATTATGCCTTTTATATTCTATGAGAAGTTCAAAAGCTTAAGTGAAAAATTACCTGCATCTTTATTAAAATTATAATATGGTGAATTATGAAAAACAGTAGTAATCTGTTATTTGTTTGATTGGTTTTATTTTTCTGTTGACTCACCAGGGATGAGTCAATACAATGCTCACATGTTACAAAATAAGACAAAGCATAGACCAATATAGAGAACACTACAAAAATTGATCTATTTCCCCAAAAGGAAATCAGCAAACCATATCCAAATTACCTGTCTATCCACAGAAGACCTCACCAATGCTCTGCTAAACCAAACTTTTACAGGCCAAGAGAACAAGGGTGATGCAATGATGTAACATTTGCAATAAGACCAAGGTTTAGCTCCCATCTGCCACCTGAAAGTTTTATAACTTTAGGTTGGTTATTTTATTTCTCTGAATTTCTGATCCCTTATGCACAAAATGGAAATAATAAAAACCTTCATTAGGGTTATGTCAGAAATAAAGTAGATGATGTATGAGAAAATTCTTATACTATAAAGTACTATATTATAGCATAATCATCTGGAGTTTACAAGCAGCATTACATAATGCTTATTTATTATGCTGATGATCCTTTTTCAATAATAAAAGAAAGCATTAGGAGCACAATACAAGACAGACCATTTATGAACCTTTCAGGTAGAGAAACAAGGTATCTTGGACTTTTCTAAAGCCAAACATGCTTTATTATTGTGGTCTGAGGAATAAGATAAATCTTTGGGGAAATGGCTATAGAATAACTTTTTAATTGAGTTGCTGTAATAACTGAAAAACTAATGCAGCTTATGCTTTCTCAGAACTCCATTTCAACATCACCAAGGTATTTACAGGAATTGGTGCACATTGTTCACATTTATTGAATGACCCCAATAACCTGTTTTGTATGCATTACTTCATTTAGGTGTTTAACATTTGTTATCCCATTGACTTCCTACAGTAACTTATGAAGCTGCTCCTATATTTTTCCCATTTTACAGATGAGGAAACTAAAGCATAAAGTGCTGAACTGACTTGCCCAAAAGATCCTTAGAAACAGAGATTCCATAAATGTCTTTGGTTGCCAGTTCTAACATTAATAATCTCCAAATACCAACAAGCTGCCTCCCCTACTCCTTTCATTGCTTTATCATGTAATTATTTTCATCTGTAAACATTGAGCCTTCATAGTCTGATTCATCCTGACTGTGCTTAATAAATACATCCATACAAATTGCCTGCCCAAAGGAAATACTTCCAGATAAATTTCCTGTGTTGTAGTTAAAGAAAATTAAACAAATTGTGATCACTTGCTTGTTCATTAAGGTAAATATATCCAAATTCGGGTTAATATTGAATGAACCATTTGTTGCACTCATTGAGATATTACATGCACAAACCCCAGGTAAGTAACCAGTTAATGTCTAATAAAGGCCAAATTGAGAGCTGGTGTAAACATAGCTGTCCCATTCCCTTAAAAATCTCTTCATTTTTATGGAAAACATCAAAGGCAATATCTGTTTTCTATCTAATAAATTTAAAATAAATCTCAATGTACACATTGAAATAAAATATTAGAATGACCATATTTCCAAACATTAATCTCTTTCATTTTATTCAATTAACATTTGCTGAAGACCCTCTGGGCTAGTTGCTGGAAGTCTACAAAAGACTGATATCAATCTTTTTAGAGATGGTTTCTGGTGTGAAATCTTTGTCCTAGAGAGAAAAGCACTTGGGTGTGCTTGCAGGAGTCAAGTAATGGTGGCAAAGGCATTTCAGGGAGAAGAAACTGTATGGATAACGGTTTGATACCCTGAAAGAGTCATAGTTTTTCAGTACTCCTTTTGCAGGGTGCCTATGGGGGACAGGAGGCATAGCAAAGCAGAAGTGAGATTGTTAAAGGTTTTATCTTCATCTCACAGTTTGTATGAGATACCAAAAAATGTGGAGCAAGATTAAATTTGCTTCTCAGAGCAGTCTGATGCTTGTCTGAGGAATAAATTGGAAGGCACAAAGTTAGAGGTCCTAACAGGTGGGAGATGATGAGGGCGGACTGAGGGTGGTAAGTGGGAATGGTGAGACCTGCTAGTTGCAAAAG